TCAAGGCTCGTTTGATGTCCCACGCACTCCCATATGCCTCTGAGTGACACTACTGCCGATACTGATCCGAGTAGTCTTGCCTGCGCCGTTACATAAGCCTGGTTTAATATACTAGTCTAAAAAGCAAGTTAGCTCTGCGCGATGTCAGATTCTAAAGTATACTTAGTAGTACGATATAGTAGTAGCTTCTATGTTTATAATTCTGTTGATATGGCTTCACGCTAGGCCCTAGAACCTAAGGTATGTATAGTGGATATGACCTTTACAAAGCTTATATATTGCAGGCAAACGAACGGGTTGTCATTGTGGCAATCGCCAGCAACAGCTGTGGTAGTATGGTCTGACGCAGATAAGGCTAGTATGGGCGCAATTGGTGTTACTTGTAAAGTCGGTCCCTACGTGCCGGGACGCACGGTGTGACGGGACACCTTCTCGTCCGGACGCTCGGATTGCCTGTAACATCCTCAAATGGAGACGAGCAAGATGCGCATCCATTCTGCAACCGTTATCCTCTGAGCATATTAGCCTCCGATGCCAAAAATCGCGATGATCCTTCCTGTTACTTATAACACATTTATTCTATAAGAAAGGCACTTATCTAAGAGAGAGATTTTGAATATCTTAGCATAGATCTAATGAATAATTATTCTATGTTAGCTACATATATAATCCAACCTTAACTCCTCCATCTGTAGCCATAGTAATAACTAACAACTCTTTCCATGGTCGATCATCTCGTGGCTCAATACGAGCGAAACGCTGGAGAATTCTAGCCGTTACAAACAACGCTTCAGTCATCGCATATTGTTCTTCATCATGGTTAGCGTAGGGTTTATGAAAGCGGGTACAAATGGGATATAACTTACGGCCAAGGCAAACACGAGGACCTCCATTAAAGGGCAAGTATGCCCATCCTGGCCTAATAGTCTCCCATCGCTCAGGTTTAAACTCGTCGGCATCCTCCCCGAATATATCTTTCCTTCTCTGCATCACATACACAGAATAGGTAACCAAAGTGCCTTTGGGTACAAAAATGGGGCTCTTCTGGTCGGCGCCTCCCCCTACTGGTAACAAAGTATCGACATATGCTTTGCGTCCGTTGATTGGAACGACAGGGTACAGTCTTAGAGCCTCGTTGATGCAGTACTTAAGGTATTTGAGATCCCGAAGAGCGCTATATGTTGGAATCTTCCCCTGCAGAGTGCCAATCTCTTCCTTAAGCTTGTTCCATATGTCTGGTCGGCGGGCAAGATGAAAGAACATATTCGATAGTAGCGAGGCTGTTGTATCACGACCAGCAACAAGGACGTTGAGAATTTCGTCACGGATACGCTTCTTGTCGGTTGTAACCTTTGAAAGCTCCTGGAGAAAAATGTACCTCTGGTTCGGCGGATGTTTTTGTTCCTGGGCTTCCAGATTTTGTCGGTGCTCCATTGCCTGCTCGACAATTTGGTCTACGAATTGATGACAAGCATCAATTGCTATCTTCGCACTTTTGCTCTTTGGAAGAATTTTGGCCAGTGTGAAACCTTTCCGTGACGTAGCAGCAATGTCTTCCTCTGCGGCATTGAAAGCACTCGCAAAGTCCACATCTGATGTAGACCTTCCACGTAAAGAGTGAACCGAGCGACCAAGTAGAAACTCTGTAGCAGAGTCGATGGTAAATTTGAAAAAAAGATCTTGGAGATCTACGGTGGATCCATCACCAGGAATGTGTTTCCACAAGTCTTGGACGTATACTTCTAAAGCATCGATATCTGCTACTTGATCTCGTGTAAAGCTTGGACGAATCATTGCTCGCGAATGCGACCAGTGCTCACCATCTGTGGTGAAGATGCCACGTCCGAGAAGAGGGCCAAAGATCGGTAGCCGGTATTCAAGACCATAATCTTTGAATTTGAGCGATAGCATAGTCTTAACGTTTTCCGGCTCCGCAGTGTAGATAGCAGATGTTCCCAATATCCGATAAGACCAAGTGTTGCCCCAGGCTCGTGTCTGCTTGAGCCGGTGCTCCAGAACACAATGGTTCTTGCCCAAAATAGCAAGCTCACGAATAAAGTTGATTCCGAAAAGAACATTTTTGTAGGGATACTGAGCAAGAAGAGGTTGACATCTGTTTGCCTGGATGAATTGGCGTTGCTTCCATTTAAGGACTAACGAGGATGCAATAAAGTGGAGAAGTAACAAGGAAGCAAACGCAACGATAGCAGAAAATCCGTTTAATTCCATCATAAGATAAGAAGTTTGAACTGCAAGAGAAATGTGATTCGGACTGACGCACGTACATCAACATACAGCAAACATAGTTATATTTCCTTTATTTCCATAGAAATTTCCTGCACCTGTCAGCTATCAGCTGTCTATCAGATGCTTGAGGATCCCTGTCTATTTTTTGCCGTTATACCACTCATGATACGCAGGAACTACGTCGGCCCGACTTTTTTCACTAGTTTGTGCTATGTTATATCTCTCGCTTAGCGTGCTGCTTCTAGCGTCAAAGACCTTTGCCAAGCATATCTAGACAACACTGTATGAATCGTAATGTGGATACCCTCAGCGTCTACGGAGAGACTCGGTTCTTCTACAAGCACTCACGATCTTTCATTCATACCGAGGAAAGACCTAGCACGGCTAACATGATCACGCCATTCGTACTTTGGTACACATGGACAAAAGGAACGGAGAACGTCGGAAGTCGTCCTACAATGTAATCTACATGTGATGCCGGATACGATAAAAGGCGGAAAAATCGAAGCACTAGCTGCTTTGGCACAAAGAAATGTCTCAGACTAATCCGGTTTCAGAGACGGAATCTTGTGTGCTGGAGTAGCATATATAGTCTAACTCCGGCACGCACAAGGTCTTATATTATCGCATCTTATGTGAGGCTCTTGACACAATCATGGTATGATATTCTAAAACCAGTGTAACGTCCATCCCTTAGTGACGCAAATCCCTACGTGACGCAAGCAACCAATCAGCTGTCTTGAACCAAAGATTTTTCCCAATTCTCGCGATTTGATTGGTTACTTGCGGCACGCCCGGATTTGCGCTACGCAGGGAAGGATGTTATTTCGGAAAGCTTCCTTGGTTTACCTGTCTACGTGCTCAGCTAATGGTGATATACTTCACGGCGACTCTTGTTGCTTTGTTTGAATCATTCATAATGTCACAATCGAATGGAAACAATTAGGTTGGGGCCGTCAATAGGCTTGACTTTTTATGCTACAGAAATGAAAATGAAGTATAGTAGAAGGAATATTAGGGCAAGAGTTTAGAGATTGGTTGTCGGTTACTTAAGAAGATTGATTCGCTGAATGAACCCTCACGTAGCACTGTCTTGGTTGGCTGACAGCGCCATCCAACACATCATACGAATTGAGATCTGTGGGGCAGGGTGAGAGTTCGAGATTCCAGACAATCATAGCTACGTACATACGTAAGCTGAGGTATGCAAATCTTCGGCCAAAGCAAATTCTCGGTCCAGCGCCAAAGGGCATTGTAGGGCCGGCTTGTTGGTCAAAGTCGTAACCGGAGAATGAGGGTGCAAATTCCAAATCACCCACTGACGCAACGTCCTTTTTGGGCTTGAGCCACCTTAGCGGTTCAAATTGTTCGATGGTCTCTTCATCCCATTCCCCGACTCTTTTCTTTGCGTCGTTGGAAGATTTTGAACGTAGACTCTCATCAACGTGAAATGCTGGCGAAAGGTAACTCGGTCCACGAGTGTACATGAAAATCGTTGTACCCTTAGGCACGGGGTGACCCAGAACAACCGTATCGACAATGCTCTCTCGCAAATTGATCTGTACTGAGTGCTGATAGCGAAGCCCTTCTTCAACGAACGCGTCTAAATATGGAGCTGGAGTGGTGATGATCTCCTCAACCGTAGGTTGGCGATTTTCCGCTCGCGCAGCAGCAAAAACACTGTAAAGATGGTCTCGAAGGATGCTTTGCTGCGCTTCATTATCGCTGAGAAATTTTACTATCCAGTTCATAGTTGTCGCGGTAGTCTCATGGCCGGTTGCCATATACCCAAGTAGCTGATTTATATCCGTTAGTGAACTAAAACAACTAATTGTATGAGAGAAGAGTTGCAAAGAATGATCTACATACCTCGTCTCGCATTCTTGCGCTATCATAAATAGGCTGCCGACCAGCTTTGATTGCAGCGTTCTTCTCCCGCAAAACCATGTAGTCCATCGAGCACTGTGCTTTCACTTCGCCTTTGTGAGCCTCTATTCTTTCTGCGCACTTAATAATGGTCGAAGAAAGAAAGATGCGCTGCCGTTTGAGAAGTCCTCGCGCTGACGTAAAGGTAGCAATCAGCCGCATCTTCAGTTTAGGCCATGGCGATCCTAGTATACGGTCAAGAAGACCTATACTACCTACGAGGCAACTCATGCCCTCTGATAGTGTTATCGTTGGGAATACAACAGCTTCATCCTTGTTTGCTGGCAGTTGCACGCAGGCTTGTTTAACGGCGTTGATATACGCTGGAAGCGCACAAGGGCCTGCAGAAAAACCGAACGCTGCAGTCCACAGGGTATCGAGAGCGGTAGCATTGAGATCGCGTTTGGCGTCGAATGGTCTCCCGGCAGCCTTCTCTCCTTTGCATTGCCATAGTTTCACTAGCGTCTGCGCATTATTGTACAAAGACGGAGCAACGACCTCAGGACACAATTAGCAAGAGAAATCTCTATTTGAGAATTGCTTAGCATACTGACATTATGTAAGAAGCCAGGGGTCATTAGGTCCTTGACCAGCTCTTTGTTTGACTTGAACCGTGGGTCGAAGGAAGTCATGGAGATGTGGTGCTCTGGAACGATCGCTCCAAAAGTATCTGCGTTACGTTTGCTTCGGTCGAATTCTTTCGTGCGGCGATACATGATGTCGTAACTCTCCCAAAAGTCATTCAGGACTATATATGGTTTCAGGAAAGGCGCAATAAAGATTTGAACCACGGGGGAGTTGTGACGACGGCCTATTTCACCTAGCCAAGGTCGAAAACTAAGACCCCGACTGCGGTACGCTTGCATGTCAGGTAAGTCACCCAACAGCCTCGAGGCAGCATGTTTGTTGTAAGGAATTCCGGGTATAGGCTTTGGTAACGCCCAGCGGTAAAGCCACGAAATGCCCAAAACAAAGCCAACGAGGCCAAGAGACAATGTTTGATAGCCAGACATTGTGATGATGAGTGAATGCAATATGAGGTTAAGAAAAACAATATTGCATGTTTTGAAGGTACAAGACTGATAGCAAGATTTCACAGACAAGAAAAGATCAAATCTTAAATACCTCAGATTAGCAAACAACGTGTTGTAGCACTAGTTCTTTATTAGTTACGTAAATGTTAATGACTTATCTAAGAACATTTGTATGTACTTGTAGTACACGTAGGTGTCTGTCTTCTCGCAGCTTGCCTCCAACTTACGGTGTTAGGGCTATCCTTGTAGGCCAAGTAGACCCATCCCTGCTTTGCAAGGGTATACCCACCTCCTGCTATGCAGGGATAGTTTTGCGGCACATACTAGTACGTACGAAGTACCACCGTAGTACCACCGTAGTGCACCGGGAAAGCTGGACTGACACTTATTTACCCGACGCGCCATTATGTATTTGCATGCTAAGCTGCATCAGACGTTTCATCGCCTCGGGATCATGTCGGAATCCAATATCCACAGAAATTGCCCCCACCTGACTGTCACTTCGATTTGCTATGGGGTCTGTTATGTTGGAAAATGTTGCGGTCACGTTCTCTTATATCTCGTTCTTCATGTAATATCAGTCGGCTTTGTTGCGTTTTTTTTGCTTCACTACTGGCACCCTCATGCGATGGATAGGACAATATACGGGCATCCTCGCAGACTCTATGACCATGCTCTTCATTAGTAGAGTGCGAGGTGCCATATTAGCAAATCGCTTGTTGGATTGGAAATGAATAAGGCTTGGCGTTCCGGGTAAACCGCTGGTCTAGATGAGGTACTGAGCATGTATTATTATTATTATTCCATTATAGTCTAGTGAGCC